AACACTGGTAGTACTACAACAAGCAAACTTAAATTTACAACTTAATACAACTCTCTCAACTGATAGAACAAGTAAACAGAAAGTAAGCAAGGATATAGAAGATGTGAACTAACCATCAACTAACCTAATTGGAACTAGACCTTGTGGAATATTCCACCTAACAATAGCAGAATGCACATTGTGTGTGGGTTTTTTTTTTTTTAATTTTTTTAATGTTTATTTCTTTTTTGAGAGGGACAGAGTATGAGCGGGGAAAGGGCAGAGAGAGCGGGAGACACAGAATCCAAAGCTGGCTCCAGGCTGTCAGCACAGAGCCCAAAGTGGGGCTTGAACTCAAGAACCCATGAGATCATGACCTGAGCTGAAGTCGGATGTTTAACCTGCTAAGCCATCCAGGCACCTCAAATGCACATTATTTTCAAGTGTACATCCTACCAAGATAAACCGAATTATGTACCATTAAAAAAATGTTTCAATAGGGGCGCCTGGGTGGCTTAGTCGGTTAAGCGTCCGACTTTCGCTTAGGTCATGATCTCGCGGTTCGTGGGTTCGAGCCCAGCATCGGGCTCTGTGCTGACTGCCAGCTCAGAGCCTGGAGACTGTTTCAATCTGTGACTCACTCTCTCTCTGACCCTCCCCTGCTCACGCTGTCTCTCTCTCTCTCCTAGAAATAAATTTAAAAAAAAACGTTAAAAAAAAATGTTTCAATAAATTTAGAAGAATTCAAGTCCTAAAAGGTATGTTCTGTGACCATGATGGAATGAAATTGGAAATCAGTAATGGAAAGATCTCTGGAAAATCCAAAACGTTTGGAAAATAAATAATAACATTTAAATAACCCATAGGTAAAGGATAAATCAAAATGGAAATGCGAAAGTTTTTGAAACTGAATGAGAATGAAAACATGACATATAATTGGTGGGATGTCACTAAAGCAGTACTTGGACAGATATTCCCTGACTTATGATGATTCAATTCATAATTGAATCACTTCCTGATGGTGCAAAAGCAATACTCTTTTAGTAGAAATATATATTTTGAATTTTGAAATTGGGTATTTTCCCAGGCTAGTGATACATGATACAATACTCTCGTGTTACTACTGGGCAGTGGCAGCAAGCTACAGCTCCCCGTCAGCCACGTGATTATGAGGGTAAACAACCAATAGATGTACAACTGTTCTTTACCCATATAACCACTGCAGCCATTCTCTTTTTCATTTTAAGTACAGTATTCAAAAATCTACATGAGATATTCAACACTTTATTAGAAAATAAACTTATGTTAGGTGATTCTGCCCAACTGTAGGCTAACTGTTCTTAGCACATTTAAAGTAGGCTAAGGTAAGCTATGATGTTTGGTAGGCTCCATGTATTAAATGCATTTTCAACATTTCCAACTTACAATGGGTTTATTGGGACATAACCCCACCATAAATTGAGGAAGATCTATATTAGAAAAGGAAAAAATGTTTTAAATCATTGACCTCAGCTTCCACCCTAAGAAGCTAGAAGAATGAGTGTACCTTGAGGCACCTGGGTGGCTCACTTGGCTAAGCGCCTGACTCTTGATTTTTGTTCAAATTATGATCATGCAGTTCTGGAGTTTGAGCCCCACATTGAGCTCCAAGTGCTGATAGTGCAAAGCCTGCTTGGAATGTCTGTCTGCCTCCCTCTCTCCCCCTCCCCTGCTCATGCTGCTCTCTCTCTCAAAATAAATAAACTTAAAAAAAACAACTAGAAGAGTGAAACTTGAAGCAAGCAGAAGAGAGGAAATACAGATTAAAGCAGAAATCAGTGAAATAGAAAACAAAACAGGAGATAAAATCAGTAAAACCCAATGTTTGTTCTTTGGAGAGATCAATGAAATTGATAAACCTCTAGGGGCCCCTGGGTGGCTCAGTTAGTTAAGTGTTGGACTCTTGATTTGGGCTTGGGTCATGATCTCACAGTCAGGAGATTGAGCCCCATGTTAGGCTCTGCGCTGAGTGTGGAGCCTGCTTGGGATTTTCCCTCTCCTTCCCTCTTGTGCTCTCTCTCTCTTTGAAAATAATTAAGTAAAATTTTTTTAAAAAACTGATAAACCCTCTAGCTCGTCTGAGAGAGAAGACACATATCAGCAGGGTCAGGAATGAGAAAGACATCATCATCACCAGAGAGTCTACAGATGGTAAAAGGAATACAAGGAATATTATTACAAGCAACTGCATGCCAATACATTTGGCCAACTTAAGTGAAATGGAAAAATTCGTTGAGAGACAAACTATCAAATTTCATTCAAGAAGAAGTGGCCTTGAGGCACCTAGCTGGTATAGTCAGAAGAGCATGCTACTCTTCATCTTGGGGTTATGGGTTTAAGCCCTATGTTGGGTGCAGAGATTACTTAAATAAATCAATATTTTTTAAAAAGAAAAAGAAGTAGTCTTAACTCTATACCTATTACAGAAACTGAAATTATAGTTAAACTTTTATCAAAGGAAAGTCCAGCACCACACATTTAAGGAAGAAATAATACCAGCTGTACACAAATTCTTCCAAAAATGTAAAGATAAGGGCATATCCCCAACTCATTCTGTGAGACCAGCATTACCCTGATACCAAAACCAGACAGACATTACAAGAAAACCAATATCCCTCATGAACATCAATGCAAAAACTTTAAACAATATTTTAGCTAATTGAAACCAACAATATATTAAAAGGATAAAAGCCAGGAACAATTGAGATTTGTCCCAAGAATTTAGGGTTGATGTAACCTTTAAAAATGGATATAACTCATTTTAGCAAAGTAAAAGTGAAAGATTTTATTATTTTAATAGACATGGACAAAGCACTGAACAAAATCTAACATCCAGTCCTGATGAAAACTCTCAACAGACTAGGAATAGAAGAGAACTGCTTGAACCTGATAAGAGACATTTACAAAAAAACAAACAAACAAAAAAACACCCGACAACTAACATTATACTTAAATCGTAAAGGCCTCTGAGATCAGGAATGAGATGAAGATGTCTGTTCCCACCGCTTCTGTTTAGCATCATCCGGGAGGTTCAAGCCAGTACCGTTAGGAAAGAAAAAGAAATACAAGGCATCCAGAAAAGAAAGGAAGAAGTAATGTTGTCTTTTTCACAGATAATACGATTGTCTGTGTAAAAACTGTGATGTAACTACAAAAAAGCTACTAGTAAATAAAAGTTATTTTAGGGAGATTGCAAGATTCAAGATGAATATCCAAACAGTAATTGTATTTGCATACTAACAGTAACAATCAGAAATTGAATTTCTTTTTTTTTTTTTTTTAAATGTTTTATTTATTTCTAGGAGAGAGAGAGAGACAGCATGAGCAGGGGAGGGTCAGAGAGAGAGGGAGTCACAGACTGAAACAGGCTCCAGGCTCTGAGCTGGCAGTCAGCACAGAGCCCGACGTGGGGCGCAAACCCACGAACCGTGAGATCATGACCTAAGCGAAAGTCGGACGCTTAACCGACTAAGCCACCCAGGCGCCCCAGAAATTGAATTTCTAAAATGCTACTTAACTAGCATCCAAAACTCTGAAATACTTAGGTAATTTGATGAAAGATGTGGAAGACCTATATAAAAAAGTACCAAATGCTAGTGAGTGAACTTAATAAATGGCAATATAGGCCTTATTCATATGACTTCAAAATGTTTTACAGGGAAAAAAGAAAAAGGGCAAAACCAGAAGATAAATGTAACGTACCTGTAAGAAAGAAATAGACTAATAACAGAGGCAAAGGGCTACTTCACCTCAGAGGGTTTTATGCATTCTTGTAGAAGCGAGTACTAGTCACCAGTGGGACTTAACCAACACTTCTGTTGGAGTGGGGTGTGAGAAGGCCGTTCCGGCTGCATGCTCACTAGGCTTTAGCTTGCCTCTCCGCTTTCTTGCTTTACTTGTTCTCTATGGAGGTGCTCGTTAGCATGAGATCTCTGTGCTATGGCCTGGCAGAACCTTGGGCTACAGAAAGTTGTTTTCCGCACTTCCAGCTGGCTTAGAGTTGGTATTAAGCTGTAGTGGGAATTCCTTAAGGAAATAGGATCATATAAAGAATATGAATTATTGGCTGTTTCAGTGTTTGAAATGAGAAGAGTGATGGATCACATCCCTTTGAAATAAAGGTTGAATCTCATCCTATTTCACTTAAGGTACTACTTTACCTTGAAATTGCTTAGTAATAACATTCCGGTGCTTTAAAGTTTGGTCTGTTTTCATGTTTTCTGATTGAAACTCACAGTTGTATTGTCAGTTTTCTTGTCTGTAAAAAGGGACAATAATATCTGAGTTAATTATATATTATTGCTATTTTGCAGATAAGAAAACTGAGACCCAGTTGGTCAGCTAGATCCTCTCCACAGACTGTCCTATTACCACTTTTTGTGTTCAGTCATGGCTATTTTTCCTCAGACTTCTTTGAGATCTTTAAAAATCTAATTTGCACTCCCCAGGTGTTGTTGAAAATATGACTTTCCTTGTAGAACAGTTTATGCCCCAGAATTTTCTCTTGGGTGTAGTGTAATAAGTATCCAAAATATCTTTGGTCCCCATAGGACTAGTTTAGCTATTTTCATGCAAGACAAAGGCTAACATCTCTTAACACCGCTATTCCTAATTAACAGATCTGTTTATTCTAAATTTGCAATTATAATACAAGATAGGCAAACAGAAGATTCAGATTCAGAAGTACTAAAAAATGTTGATTGTCATGTTTGTAAATGGGTGGATTTTTTTTTTAATGTTTTATTTCTTTCTGAGAGAGAGAAAGCTTATGCAGGGGAGGGTCAGAGAGAGAGGGAGATACAGAATCCGAAACAGGCTTCAGGCTCCCAGCTAGCTGTAGGCACAGAGCCGAATGCAGGGCTTGAACTCACAAACTGAGATCATGACCTGAGCCGAAGTCGGACGCTTAACTGACTGAACCACCCAAGTGCCCCTGTAAATGGGTGTTTTGTTTGTTTGTTTGTTTGTTTTACAATATAAACAATTTTATTTTTGATGTGTCTCCAGCCATCGGCTAATGGCCATTTTCAGAGTCCTGTTTGGTGTAAGTACCACTGAAGAAAGAACAAGATTTGTCATGGGACTTGTACGTTTCTTTTTGCTGATCCAGTTTTCCATTGCTTCCTTTTCATATGAATAGCCGTTTGTTGCAATGACAGGATCTTTCATAAGCTCCCTAGTTATTGGACATAGAAATTCATCAGGAATTCCAGAAGAAAGGGTTTTCACTTCTGTCCTGAGCTCTTCTATTTTCCTCAGCACTTTACTCCGCAGCCCTAGAGATTCAATTTTCAAATCATCAGCCAGACTTTCCTTGGTGAGATTCAACAGTTCTCTTCCATCAATGTTATTCATTTTGAAAATACCAACAAGGTCATTTAAACCTTGTGCACAAAGCCACACGGAGACATCATCCTCTGACCAGTCTTCAGGAAATTGCTTTGTCTCCTCTTCTGTGCTCCTTGCTTGGCAAGGTGTTTCCAGATCAAATTGCCAGATGTTCACTGTTTTGTCCATTGAACCAGTAGCAAGTAAAAGGATATTGGGTGCAAAGGCACAAGTTGTGACATACCTGGTATGCTGAGTCAATGTGTGATGTACATTCTCAGTATTAATATCATACACTATGACAGATTTATCCACTGATCCCGAGACTAGCATCTGCCCATTATGAGAAAAAGCACAAGCCAGAACAGGAGCACAGTGCCCACTCAGTGTACTTTTATATTTTAATGTAAATGGGTGTTTTTAAGACAAAGTTTTAATCAAGGCAGTGGTAGGTATTAATCTCACTCTGCCTTACCTTACCCCTAAACCATTAGCTCAGAATTCATCCAGGAAATTAGCTATTTTGGAAGGCTGGCCGTTAAATGGCTTTGTTTTTCCTCTTAATATGTGATCACCCAGTCATGACTTAATTTAGTCAAGGCTCTGGAATTGGAATGTAGCTCTAACATTATCTGAAACTACAGGCTTTATTAGGAATACCATTTTGGTAATCTCTCCCAGTCTTATTCTTACTGGAGTTTTAATTAATAAGAAAACATCTCTAATTCTGGGTTTTGCTCTCTACCTTCTGACTCTTCCGTTTCATTGGCTTTACCAAATGTTTCCAAAGGCCCATTGTGAGTCACCAGCTTGAGAACTGGTTCCCCCCAAAATGGTAAATACTGAAAATAAGAAAATGTGTTGTTTTATGAAATAGGCAGCAGACAGGAGTGGCCAGTAGCCTAGCTATTCCATAGAAATTCCATAGAAATAGGTAAGCAAGGCGTCAAGTCAGAGGGCAGACAGCTAACTTAGAAAAAGGCAGCCTGGATTTAAAAAAGAAAAAAAGGCTAGCTGAGGTCGTCTTGATCCAAGAAGCCAGGGAGGAGGCTCTAAGGCTCTAGTAAAGCCTGTTGAGAAAAGGTAGGCCCTGATCCGAGAATGGGGGCATTAGGACCATGACTAATGTTTTTATTTTTTAAATGTTTATTTACTTTTTTTTACATTTATTTATTTTTGAAAGAGTGAGACAGAGCATGAGTGGGGGAGGGGCAGAAAGAGAAGGAGACAGAATCTGAAGCAGGCTCCAGGCTCTGAACCAGAGTTCAGCACAGAGCCCAACGTGAGGCTCAAACCCACAAACTGTGAGAGGGAGACACAGAATCCAAAGCAGGCTCTAGACTCTGAGCTGTCAGCACAGAGCCTGATGCAGTGCTCAAACTCACAGACCTCAGGATCATGACCTGAGCTGAAGTCAGGCGGTTAATTGACTGAGCCACCCAGGCGCCAAAGCCATGGCTATTAAAGCTTGTGGTCAGAGGCCCAAAGTGCATCTGCTCTAAGGCATACAAGGTAGGCATGCTAAGATCACAACAGGTATGGAGCAGAGTGTACTGTGGAACCCCCAGGGCAGTATTCTCTGTGCCCTGAATTGCATAGCTGTGATTTTACCTGAAGGTTAGGAGCATTTTTCCTCTCAATAAGTAGGACAAAGTTTTGCTCAGCTTCATTCTATAAAACAGAGTCAATGACATTGTCATTATTATAATTGAGTGTCTTTTTTTTTTTTTTTTTGGTTTGGTTTTTAACTGGGTTGCCATCAGTGGAACTCTGAATTGAAATGTAAATCTGGTCAGAATTTCCCGGTGTTTATAGCAGCTTTCCCCAGTGTGCCATTATGTCATCAATGCCAAGAAATGTATCTTGGAATAAAGATGATTCCATGGTCAAAAGAGTCCAGGAAACATTTAATATTATATCCCTCTCTTGGGAGATTTGCAGTGTATATTAGTGAACTAAAAGTTTTTAGGAGTCTTCTAGTAAAGAAATCTCTTTGATCCAATGTTTCCCAAACTGTTTTGACATTGCAATTTTGTGTTTTGTCATTAATATCTATTAACCTTCTTTTGGACTAATATTTATTCAACACTTAGGAAACACAGCATCCTCTTGGAAGTAATTGCTGCATGCCAAATGGATAGAGCTTGAAACAGTAGAGGAGATCTAGATAATCATAAATGTAGCCCCAAGACTTAGAGAAAATTTCATACTCTCATTCAGGGAGTAGATAAAACCCAATAAAGGGATTAGTAATGATGATCTGTTTTATTTTTCCTGATTGAGGTGAGTGTATTTTGGAAAGTGGGACAGGCTTGAGTCACTTAGTCCTAACAGGATGCTAAGAATGCCTCACATTTGTGTTTGTATTATGCTTTAAGGCCTGGGGCATGCCTGGGTGGCACAGTTGGTTAAGCATCTGACTCTTGATTTCGGCTCAGGTCATGATCATAGGGTCGGGTCATGGGAGCAAGGCCCACATCAGGCTCCGTGCTGAACAAGGAGTCTGCTTAAGATTCTGTCCCTCTGCCCCTCTCCCCACCTTGCTCTCTCTTTAAAACAAAAATTAAAAAAGACAACAAAACTTACATTTCCATGATCAAAACCCTATGAGGTAGAAAGGCAAATATTGTCCCCCATTTTTACAAAAGAGGAATTTCTTTTTTTTTTTTTTTTTTTTTTTTACAAATAGTTTATTGTCAAATTAGTTTCCACATAACACTCAGTGCTCATCCCCACAAGTGCCCTCCTCCATGCCCATCCCCCCTCCCCCCCACATCCATCAGTCGTCAGTTTTTGTCAGCATTCAAGAGTCTGTCATGGTTTGCCTCTCCCCCTTTCCCCCACCATTTCCCCCCTTCTTCTCCCCCTTGTTCCTCTGTCAAGTTCCTCCTAATCCTCCTATACGTGCAAATATATGATATTTGTCCTTCTCTGCCTGACTTATTTCGCTCAGCATAATACCCTCAAGGTCCATCCACGTTGCTACACATGGCCAGATTTCATTCTTTCTCATTGCCATGTAGTATTCCATCGTATAGATAAACCACCTCTTCTTGATCCATTCATCTGTTGATGGACACTTAAGCTCTTTCCATGTTTTAGCTATACAAAAGAGGAATTTCAAATAAAGAGGGACTGGGTGGCTCAGTTGGTTGAACATCCGAATCTTGATGTTCACCTCACAGTTCACGAGTTCAAGCCTCATGTTAGGCTCTGTACTGACAGCGTGGAGTCTGCTTGAGATTCTGTCTCTCCCCCTCTCTGTCTTTCTCTTTCTCTCTCAAAATAAACTTAAAAAACGTTTTTAAATTAAGACTTGCCCAACATCACATGACAGACTAATATGTAGTATAGCTACTAGGTCTAGTACTTTGAGCTTTTTAATCTCCACATCCCTGGTTTATGCCCATATCACCAAAGTAATTGTCCACATCTGTGCTAATGAGTGCTACTTTTATAGAAGGGTACACTTTCTCTTACTTATTTTTTTCCCTTAAGTAGTTCTAATTGTATTTCTACCCGTGGATTCTTTTTGACTTTGCTTACTCCCCATAGCATCTGAATGCTGAGCATAGTCTGGGCATAACAAATACCCAGGTCATCTCTACACAGACAAAAAGCCAGAGGATCAGAAACTCTGGATTTGAGCAAATTTCAGATTTCTCCTGTAGAACATGCTTTGAGATATGAATTTAAAACCTACAGGGTTTAACCTTTTCTTTTTTTTGTTTTCATAAGTTTAGTAAACATTTATTGAGAACTGACTACCAGCTATAGGCAAGGCATTAAGCTGTATATATTTTTCCCCCAACACTTCATTCTAAAACAGATAAGACTTTATTTTTTAGAGTAGTTTAAGATTCAAAGCAAAATTGGAGCGAAGATAAAGAGATTCTCCATATACCTCCTGTCCCACACACTAAAAATACAAATTTGAAAAAAGTTGGAAGAATTGGTTAGTAAAAACCATATATCCAACACCTAGATTTTATAGTTAACTTGGTTACTACTTTTAATCACACGTTTGTCCACCTTTCTATCACTCCCATCTTATTTTCTGATGCATTGCGAAGTAAGTTGGACACTTCAGTATACTTTATTCCTTAATACTTCAGGATGTATATCATTAACTAGAGTTCAATATTTGTTTACAGTTCCTTTTGTGTTTTGTGTAACCTTTTGTGTTACACATGATAGGTGCTTCTCAAATATTTGTTGAATGTGTAAATGACTCAACCAGATCAAAACACAAAGAAGAGAAAAAAGACTGGAGGTTGCACATTCACAAAAGTAGTAGAACCCTGCACAGTTCAACAAGGCCATATTATGTCTGCTTTCTTGACAATCTCAAAATAAAATTCTTGTACTATATTATATACCTTCACCCCAGTGCATGGATACAGGACCCCACACATACCTGTGCTAGAATATTCCATTCTCAGAGGCAAAACATTCCATTCTCAGAAGCCAGAAGGAGGGAATCTTTTAGGAAAATGAGGCCAGAATAAATCAGTGTTCACCTCTTGGTGTAGTGGCTTTTGCATCATGAGCAATGAGAGAAGTGCAGAGCAGCTGACTAGAATCTAAAGGGAGAGGGTTTTTTGGCCTAAGTGTCTCCTAGCCTGGCCTAGCTGTCCTCCATACAGCCCAGTCGCTTTAGGCTGACTGATGGCTTAAAGTAACAGTTCCTGCCTATCCAAATTCTGCCCATTTATTTCTCCATGACCAGCTGATCATTCATCTCCCCCACGAAGCACAGTGATTACTTCGTTTTCTGAACTCATGATTGTGTACTGGCACTTAATATTCACTGCCTTGGAGATTTTAAGTTATTTTTTAACCTTTTATTGTTATAAAAGCAGTACATGTGCACTGAAGAAAGAAAATAGAGAAAAGTAAAATATTAAAACCTTACATTTTCACCTTCCAGAAATGACCATTGAAACAGTTTAGTGCAGGGGGACCTGGGTGGCTCAATCTTTTAAGCATCGGACTCTTGATTTTGGCTCAGGTCATGATTTCATGGTTTGTGGGATCAAGCCCTGCATCGGGCTCTATACTGGTGACACAGAGCCTACTTGAGATTCTCTCTCTCCCTTTCTGTCTTCCCTTCCCCTGCTCTCTCACTCTCTCTCAAAATAAATAAATAGGAGCGCCTGGGTGGCTCAGTCGGTTAAGCATCCGACTTCGGCTCAGGTCGTGATCTCACGGATCGTGGGTTCGAGCCCCGCATCAGGCTCTGTGCTGACAGCTAGCTTGGAGCCTGGAGCCTGTTTCAGATTCTGTATCTCCCTCTCTCTCTGACCCTCCCCTGCTCACGCTGTCTCTCTCTCTCTCAGAAATAAATAAAACATTAAAAAAAATTTTAATAAATAAACATTAAAAAATAGAAACAATTTA